GGCTGCTTCTAGTGGGGGAGTTGGAGGAGGTGTAGTACTCGCCCCCCGGGCTGGTGTCGATGTCATCCTCCATGGACCCCGACTTGTGCCGTTTGCTCCTGGGGGCAGGGAGGGGATCAGCACCAGCAGGGAGATGACCAGTGGCCCCAGCATCGCCCCAGCATCACACTGGCATCCCCCCACTATTGCACTGGCATCCCCCTGGCAGCCTCCTGGTATCTCCCTGGCATCCCCCTGGCCCTGGCACTGCCCGAGCCATGGCGTCATCCCGATATTGCTTCACCCCTGGCACTGCCCTGCCCCCAGTGACAGCCCCCCCGGCACAGCACCTACCCGCTGGAGGAGGTGCTGGGCAGTGTCCTCCTCATGCCGGTGCTGGAGGGGTTCAGGTCATAGGCCAGGTGACCCTGCAGCTCCCCCAGGGAGAAGTTGGGCCCTGTGCCCGTCACCACCGGCGCTGCAGGGAGAGATCAGGGTCAGGAAGGACCTGGCACTGCCCCACCTGCCAGGGAGGGGACCCCCGTGGGATGCTGCTGTGATCCCAGGCAGCTGGCAGGGAGTGGTGGCATCACAGTGACACTTACTTCGGGACACCTGGATGAGCTCGGTGACACTGAACACCCCTGAGGTGACGAAGCTTTCCTGGAAGTCTGTTGAATCTGTGCAGGAGAGAGGAGGGAGCATTGGGGGGGGGGACAGGACCAGCCCCCCTGCTCCCCATGGTTCTGTGGGGATGCTCAAGGGCACCCAACCTCCCTGCATCCTCTGGAATGACCCCAACAGGTCCTCCCTGCCAAGGGCACTCCAGGGCTCCTTGGTGTCTCAGTTTCCCTGTGGCTGAAAATGCTGACAGGGTGGGGATCTGTACACGCACCATGGGACCCCCATGGTGGTTGCTGTCCCCAGGGTACATGGCCCTGGCAGGTCTCTGCCAGCTGTGGGACGAGGCTGAGGCTCTGCCCAGCTCAGTGCAGCTGCTGGGCAGTAGCTGTCGGGGGCTGTGGGGCACTGAGACAGCTGCAGGAGGAGCTGGCATGAGGACCATGAGGGGCTGTCCCCAACACAGGGACGCTGGGGATGAGCTCGAGTGTCCCTTGTCCTCTGCCCACCCTGCTCACCCAGCGTGATGGGTTTGCTGTCCTCCTGATCTGAGCCGATGCCCGTCCGGGGGCTGCTGCTCTGCTCTGCATCTGCAAGAGGAAAAAAACCACTGGGGTGAGTGCCCTGGGTGCTGGTACCACCTGGGATACCTGCCGGCCCGGCACCTGCCTCGCTGCTCTGCTGGGGGTGCAAAACTGAGGCACAGCTGCTCCCACCCCACAGGGGGATCATGACTGAACAAGCACATTCTCAGCCACTGGGAAAGAGCCACCAAGCATCCCTCCCTGGGATAGGAACGGGGGCACTCCAGCACTGGCATGTGGGACACAGGTGGAGGAGGGAAACCCATGGCACCCAACATGCCCCGAGGCAGGGTGACAGCTGCCTGGCTCTGCTCTTGCCTTCTCTCCTCCCTCCAGCCACTCCTGTGACCCATTCCTGCCACACCGGGCAGTGTCACCACGCTGGTGATTGCCCCGTGGCAGCTCATCCTGCCTCCCCCAGCCCCGCAGAGGGCAGCAGGGCCCCGAGGCAGCACCCACCCACTCCCATGCATGAAGCCCCCGCTGACCCTGCTCCATATCAGCTAAAAATAACCCGTCTCAGACGCTGTGCTCAGCGGCACCGGCACATTCCAGCGCTGGCACATTCTGGCACCAGCACATTCCGGCACCGCACGCCACGGCACCGCATGGCTGAATCACCCTCCGGCTCCCCGTGCTGCACCAGGCCCTCAGCCAAGCCTGGGAGCTCCCAAAACCCTTCCAAAACTTTTGCCATTTATTTCCCCCCCCACCCTCTTGTCCTTCCTTCTGCTCCCCCGCCCTCCTCCTCCTCCCTCCCCTTCGCCTTCTGCACTTCAACTTC